ATTCCGTCGCAGGTACACATGTCAAAATCTCTAAATGATATCCTCGCCATTCTCCTCAGGTGGGAGAAAGCTCAATCCATCGAGTAAGCATCTCTGGAACTCTCACACTACTCCAATAGATCAGGATCCAATCTCTGCAGCTCCTTGTGGTCGATCCACGTGTTATATGTCTCCGATTTCCATGTCCATTGAACTAGATACCTTCGGCGGCCATTGTCTTTAGTGGAAATAATCTCATCACCAAGTATTGCCTCAATCTTCTCCACATTGGGTAAAATAGGAATGCTTGAGAGTAGAGGTAGGCTAGGTTTCTCACCAGGTAGGTTCACACAAGGCTCTTTATTAAGTGGATTGGAGGGGTTAAACTTTGGACCCTCAAAGGCTACTAGATTTTCGATGTTAAACATAGGATTAATGTTAAAACTTTCAGGAAAGTCTAGCAGATAAGCATTACTATTTATTTTTGAAGTTATCTTGAAAGGTCCTGCGCTTCTTGCATGTAATTTTTGACGGTCCCTTATAGAACCGCTCCGGACGAATCCGAACCATTATAAAGTCTCCAACTTCAAATTCTTTGAATCGTTTCTTGAGATCCACTTTAAGTTTATAGTTAGCATTACTTTGTTCAATTTTTTTATTAATTTCCTTATGCAACTCTTGGAGATGTGATGCAAATGTTGTTATCTCAGATGCTTTATACTTATGACTCAGAGGGATCATATCTATAGGTTGTCTAGGTTGGTACCTATAAACAATTTCAGCGGGACTTAAACCTGTAGTTCGATTGACAGAATTGTTATAGGCGAACTCAGCTATAGGTAATTTGGAATCCCATTCTCGTATATTTTCTCCTACCAAAGTCCTAAGAAGGTTACCTAGACTCCTGTTAACGACTTTTGTCTGTTCGTTAGTTTGTGGGTGGAAAGTGGTGGAAAATTGGACTTTAGTTTCCATTTCGTGCCATAAAGTCTTCCAGAAGTAACTAGTGAATTTAACGTCTCGATCTGACACTATGATTTTGGGTAATCCATGAAGCGTAACAATTTTGTCGAAGTACAGCTTGGCGATCCTAGAGGCATCAAACATTTTGGAGCACGGGAGGAAATGAGCCATCTTAGAAAATCGGTCCAATACTACACACAGAGTCATGTTTTCTAATAGTCTTGGTAGACCTAAAACAAAATCCATGCTCACATCCTGCTAAGGGAAGTTGGGTACAGGGAGGGGTTTAGATGGGACTGACCTATTGGAGGATCTTAGAGTATAAGCTGCACTCAGTCAAGAAGAAGTGAAGAGAGGGATGGCCAAGTACTACAACACTCATGCCAAGGAGAAAACCTTCTAACCCAGCGACCTCGTTCTGAAGAAGGAAGATGCAGTTGCTTGCCATTTGGCACTCACAAGTTGGTGAGCACATGGAAAAGCCCCAACATCGTCAAAACACAAGTCGACCTAGGCGCCTACCAGCTACAAACACATAATGGAGAGGAACTACTCTAAACATGAATTGCCGATGACCTCAAAGTCTTTTATCCATGAAAGGGAAGGCTATACTCTTGCACCACTGCTTGTATATTTTTTCCAAGGAAAGAGAAAAGATTCTCTCTTTTTCTTTCATTTTCTTCTACACGAGCGAGTCCTTCGTGAAAGAAATGAGTACATTTAAGAAAATTCCTAAAAATGCTTGGGGAACTCGTGTTCCATCGATAAATAAATATGGGTTCGCCCATGCAGGACAATCGCCCAAGTGCTTGGGGAATTCAGGACACCGAGGCAGAATGCACGGGTGACTCCCTTCCTACTTGGGCAAGCTCCTAGTGAAATTCAAAGAAAGAAATATGTCAAGCCCTAGATGCGCGACTCCATAATAATCGAGTGTGATAAACCATGTGGAAACCGACTGAGTTTCCATGCTGTCTTAAGCTAAAGAGCGAGTCAAACTACTCATTGTAGGAGAGTTGAGGTCCCTATGCACTCAAAAATTGCAAGCATTCGAAAGTCCCCAGGCGAAGGAAAGTCATCATTCAAGCGAAGTTTGCTCATTATAATATGTAGAGTAATTACGTTGAGTAGCATTTCGATGTAAGTATTATCCTAGCCATGGTTTAAAATTGCGCAATATGAGGCTCGCCTTGAGGCCCGCCTTTGCGCAATTCCAGTAAAAAATGCCTCGATGCTTATGCCTCGAGTTTTTTTATGAGGCTTGCGCCTCAACTTGGTTGAGGCCCGCATTGAGGCCCGCCTCGCCTCACTGGCATGAGGCTTACGCCTCACGCTATATATATTAAAACTTACATAAATCTTGAAGTAAATGCCCGACATTGGACTCTATAGGAGAGGAGGAAGGGGAGAGAGCAGTTCATCATAATGATGATTCAAATAAAAAACTCCTTAGTGATGACAGTGTTGATGACTTGTGAGTTCTTATGTGATATGTCATTGCTATTTATTTTTGAAAATTGGAATTATATGTTAATGAAAATAATACTGGGATTTGGGAAAGATAGAATTTTGAGTTGAACTATATTTCATGTTGTCTTATTATTGAAAT